TAGCATTTAGTGCAGTTCAATGTGAGGAAATTTATGTTTTGAAAGCAAACAGATCAATGGAAAGCCTGTGGAACAAGCGTTTGGAAAGTCCACGTTGACATTCGTGTACTTTGTACTGGAACGTCCTGGGCAGTTTTTCACTGGTTTCCCCAACAAAGAGGAAGACTTGTTAGATTTGTTTCCATGCATGTTTGCAGACGTACAGATTCGCTTCCACGTGAGGATATTTTGACATTTAATTTCAGAAATTCTGGTTAGGCTTTCATCCAGACTAACTCCTTTTTCCCTATTCACCGAGGTCAGTGTAAATCGACTCTGTTTGGGCTCTCTGAGGCAAAGTTCCAAATATTTTCAGCCAAAGGGCGAATTTAACACAATTCTTAACCTAGTTACTCGTCTGCGCTCATCAGATGCGAGCGGCTGGTGTGACAGCAGCGTTTGTCAACGTGCGGCTCTGCGTGGCCGCGCTGCTCTGGAAGCTGGTGCCATCCTGCGGTGTCCTTCCAGTCCTTCTCTGCGGCACGACTCAGAATGACCGGAAATATCTTGACAAATTTTTTTTAATCCCAAATTACCCATTAGTTTTCTTTTGTATGTATTTTATATATTGCTGAAGTCGGCATCTTTCACAACTCATTATATATGTATATTGTCAAGGACGCTTTTTAAAATCAGAACAATAGATTTGGGTTCCAGCTGCCCGATATTGCCTCACTTTGTACAGTCACTACACTAAATTTTTAGGCATTTCAGGATAGCTTTGAACTTTTATTGATGGATTATTTGTTTGAAGCTATCTGTCTTAGGCATTTTAGGCAGCTGATGCTGCCATGAGCTGCTTCACCTTGCTGGAAAGAAGAGGAACCTAGGAGGTCAGTGCCTGTGGGGAGCAGTGGAGAAACAGAGAAGTGCTAACCCCTGGGGAGGAAAAGGGGCATGTAATTCCCATTACATGGATGCTCATACATTATGATGATACTTATTGTCTGTAAATGATGCTTCACAAGCCAGCATGCAGGAATAGCTCAGGCTGCAAGGAGAGCTGTTATTAGCAAAGATCTGCTTCGGTACAGGGGTGGTGGAGCCAGCCGGGGAGGGTTCGGCTCTTGCAAGAGGCTCTCTGGGAATCGGGGGTGCACCCTGGCAGCTTAGGTAACTGCCACATGATGGCTGGAATCTTC